ATATATATATATATTAATATATATTTATACCCATATAAGTATATTTATAATTTATATATGTATATATATCTATATATATGTATATACAAAAAAAATTCCGACATTTACTAACCCTCCTCTCCCACGATGCTGGTACTCCACATGCCAAAAAATTATAATTCTTCGTCCATGTGAATTTTGATACATAAAATTTCATATTCTGTTAAGCTAGAGGAAATTTTATTTTCATAATTAATTGACTGTTTATTCTTTTTATTGAATCTCGAAAAATTAAGGAATGTATATTTCTAGTATTTCGTCAATATTTTGACTCATTTTCGAGCAGTCTTTGAAATGTATTTCAAACGTGCATTTTGCGATGTTTCCGATAACGAGAGTGTTTGCGCGTGTGATGTTAAGCGGCGGATAAAACGTAAAAAGGGAAGGAAGTTAAATCGCGCTTGTCATCGATACCGTTTCACACCTCGATTAACCGCGCATCCTTTACCGATACGTAATGGAGTGTGTGCGTGTGTATATGTGATATCAACCTAAGAAAGGGATATTTTTATCTTGATCCCCCTTCCCCCTCATCAAGGATTGCAAAACTTCGCAAAGATAAATGTTAAAAGCTGCTTCGGCAGATTAAAGCAATCCTTAATCCCGAAACACAATAGATATGGTAAGCCTTAAGCCGTAAGAAATTAACCAATCGTACTCGATTATTCTCCTCATATTTGATTTGCGATTGGCCTATTGGCTTAATATCTTACGACTTAAAGCTTATTAGACCTGTTGTGTTTCGGAAGTAAAAAATCACTTAAGGATCGCGGAAATTAAAAATTATTCTATTATATATCAGTATATAATCAATTAGTAAATATCGCATTTATATATATCTGTACGTAAAGTACATGATATTTAAAATTTATTATTCTCAATATTTCGTAAAATTAAATTAAACAAATATAAGAACTGCAATTTTTGAACGTAGATATTTTTTTTGTGACAAAATCTGTCTGTAGGACAAAATTTTTCTCAACACTTACCCGGACAACACACCGAGAATTAGATTCATCACGAAGAAAGCCCCTAAGATGACCATTGAAATGAAATATATCCATTGCCACGAACTTCCCATCGCATCCTCGATCTACCAGATAAATCAAAATTATGAAGAGAATTAGTTTCTTGAAGAATTCTGCTTGTTTTTTCTTTTTTATTATTTAAAATCAACAATATATCTAAAAGTTTTACAAAAAATATATAGTATAGTTAGAGTCTTTAATGTATATAATACGAATTAATACAGAATGCCATAGTAAAGGGTGAACGTCTATGTTTTTCTTGTTAATACTTGATTAGATAAGATTATTATATGAACATAATTATTCTGTCAAATAAAACAAAAACATGGTTATTACACGTGCAGCGATTTTACATTGTAAAGCACATCCGTCCAGCCTTCGAGGGTGATGCATTGGAAGACCGTGAGCATGGACAGTCCGAAATTGTCGAAATTTGTGATGCCGTAATTAGGGCCCTCCCAAAATTGTTTGCTGCAGTAGTAAGCTCCAGTCTGATAGCACTGGAATCCTCCGGAGCCGCATGGTACCGGATCGTCCATTATCTCGTCTGCGATATAAAGGTGAATCGAATTTTTAATCCCAACGGGATAACAGCGGTCGCGGAACGTAATAAGGTCAGCACTCTGCGCAAAACTTCTAATTGGCTCGAGCAAACCAGCAAGTTTAATGTATCATAATAACACGTTAAAATATTTGCACATTTTTCTACTTTATGCAAACGGCTTGAGACTAGTACTTTTCTCCACTAACGCGAAGACAATGTATTAGCCTTTCTGTCTCACGCTTCTCCGATATGTACATAGGTCGATTAAAGGAGCTCTATTACTCGTTGCTTTGTTAAACTTTAAATTACGTTAGGTTGACACCGTCAACATAGCAAAAAAATCATATCTGCATCTCTTATTAAATTAAAATAATGGACATAATTACTAACTAATTGGGGCTTCTTTATTAATAGCACTAAGTATAGGACAGAGAAATATCGAAAATGCAATTAAAGTACCGATTAATTAATTTTAATTAGTCGAAGTAATTATTTTAATTGATTGTTAAAATGAACGTTGACTTCTCTGCAATATCCTGTGTGTCTGTACAAAAATGATAGAACATAACATAGACACAAAAAACTATTAATTAATTAATACAAATTAATTCTACATACATGGATAGAATACAATTATTCTTATTTATTGGAAATAAAATTGAAAAGTTTCTGTATATGGACATAAAAACTAGAGATTTTCAGAGCAAGAAAGAAGTTTGGCAAAAGCATTGTGCGAGGCAAATTCTTTTCTTTCTCGTTATAAACACACACACACACACACACACACACACACACACACACTCTCTCTCTCTCTCTCTCTCTCTCTCTCTCTCTCGAAATTTTTGTATTACTCGAGTCCGGTAACATCCATATGCTATTTTGCATATTCTTGTGAATCAACTTTTCATCGCGCAAAAGGCACGTAAGTTACACGCGCGCCTCTCACGCTAATAATAATTAGACGTTAGTTTTACGTCCGTGTCTCGGTTGAATCATATCTAAAATAGCCGTCCCGGCGTAAAATGTATTTCGAAGTTAAGCCGGGAGTTCCTCTCGAGGTCCTCACCAGATTCCCTTTCAATTTTTTCCAATTTTTTTATTCTAATCACCAAGGAGCAACTCTTAGGAACGTCTACGAAATCTATAATAATTTAACGGACCCTGCATTGCCGTTCTCGTTAATTTTTTACAACTTCCTAATGCGGAATAAATTTCGGAATAAAATTCGATAATAAAATTCGATAAATAAAATTCGAAATAAATGCGGAATAAAATTCTTAATGAGGAATAAATGTAGGTAAATTTCTTCTATTATACAAGGTAGGCCATTTTAATCAATACACGCGAATATCTGATCAGGTAAGCAAGATAGCGAAAAATGTTTCAGACCAAAGTTGTATGACTTTGAGGGGGACATTAGATGGCGTCATCAGTTTGACCTTGAATAGTTGCTTGAAGGCCACGTGAAGGTTATCTTCAATTTCTTAAATGGAAACCCTTATTTTTCATTGCATATTCTTGTAGCTTACCTCGAGAGCTTTCCAAAACACTATAATAAAATATTTTTTCATCAAGTACTTTTTTAGTTATGATGCTCGAAAGTTACAGTACCTCCGGCATTTAGCATTATCCAAGGTGTTCGACCGACAGCTAAAACCTCTTAAATGTTGTTTAAAATCATGAAATGGATAATATTTATCAAAATCAAGGCCATTAGAAGTTGTACATCTTATTTTCATTTTTACGTTAAAATTTTTAGTGTTATCACTAGATTTACACGTTTGGCGCAGTTATGCAAATATTTCGAATTTGGGGGACTTTTGTCAACGATTGTATCTCAGATACATCCTTAACAAAATCATAATACATAATTAATTTCTAATCATATATTAAATAGATGAATTGTAAAACAACTTCAGAAAAATACCAAAATTGTATTTCTTTAAAGAGAGAGGGAGGGAGAGAGAGAGAGAGAGAGAGCTCTAAGCTTCAGAAGAATTCAGAGTATAATAAAAATGAAGAGCATCGATCCGCGATTGCCATCATGAAAACGTTGTTGCATCATTCATTAAACTTATGTATATTAAAGAAATTCTGAAACATGCACTTACCGGTAATGTTGTGCCGGCACGTTTTGTGCATTTTCCCGGAGAACAGCTCGAGGCCGATGATAGCGTAAATGATGATGACGAAGAGAACTAATAAAGCAATGTGCAAAAGTGGTACCATCGCCCTCAAAATGGAGTTTAGGACCACCTGAAGACCTATGCAAATAAATTTATTTTTATCAATTATGCATTATTCTCATTAATTCTCTAAACGACTGAAATACTCCGATTTTGAATAAAAGAACTAATAGTTTTATTAACATTTCGTTCATAAATTTATATCTAAATTTTATTAATTTTTAATATGATCTCTTTCTTTGTTTATTGCTTGCAAATAAAATTATTCAATCACATTACATTAATATTTTGATCGGAAACTTGGAACACCGGAAACCAGCCTAAGAGGACGTAAAACACGAAACGCCCTTAAGGCCTTGACATCGAAACCCTCCTTCATAAGTATCGTCAACACCGTGCTTACCATTCTGTAAAGAGGAATGCAAAAAATGTTTCTATGCAACAGAGGATTAATGACTTGACGATAAAATGAAGACTTGATAATGAAGGTTGCGAAAGTCATTTTCCCGGAACGTAATTTGTCCCTAAAGAAAAGAGTTTTATGTGCCAAGGCTAATAGCACCATAAACACCGTGTGGCAGCATTTACAAGAACATTTACGAGGCATAAAATAGGGAGGATAGAAGAGAAAAAGAAAATTTTTCCTCAACAAACGAAATTCGTTGAAAGAGGAAAAATAGCTTTGTAGCATCTTTTTGTTCTCGGCACGTGCAATCTTTCGTGTCACGCCTTTAAATTACAATTTTCGCGCGAACGTTCGACGAACGTGACGTTTCGTAAACGAGCCAAGATGAAGGGTGAACCGTCAACCGGAAAGAAACGATTGTATCGGATGAGACAATTTCAAATGTTACCAGTGCAGCGGCTGCATTTTCTTCGTGCATTAAGCATTATGCCATTTGAATAATGGTTCCCTTGTAATGATCGACTCGATAGAGGAAGAGAGTGGATGTGCTGCACGTTCTCCTATGGGACATTAAGACGAATCGATTCGCCGTGTCGTTAACTGAAAACGATAAAGCTATCAGACGGCAAGTCGGATATACGCGAAATGTTCACATCCGAAACAGGTAGTTACGCCTGTCGATTCGAATCCACCGTATCTGAGATCAATTTCGCGAACAATCCGCGCGTTTGCTGCGGAAATAAATTCACATCGCGAATCATTAACCGGGAAAACAGCAGGGGGGTTGGCCGATATGCTCTGTTTGTCGAACTCATCGGTGTTTTACGCCCGCGCACGTGCATCTGCGAGGTTCTCTCGTCTCTTTATCCTGTGAAAATCGATGATTGCAAGTAAATAGGATACCATTATTTACGTTATACATATATACATTATGCTACGATATCGTGACAGTAATAATTGAGTAAAGGTATATCAAGCCCAAGTACCTCGTACAGTACTGTTCTATTTGCGTGGCAAGGAATGTTGCAATTACGTTTAATGATTTTTCATGCCTCTTACTCGCAAAGTTATCGGGAAATAAATGGGATCAAATTTCTTTTTTTTTTTATGAAGCATCGAAAAAACACGTTAGTCAGGATTGAGAAAATTACTTTGTAAAAGTAACTAGTTACAATTACAATTATTTAAAAAATAATGAGTTATTAGTTTTCAATTACCTTTTTGTTAATTTTTTGTAATATTTTGCATTGCTTTAAATATAAAAATCTTACATACTTTTAACATTAATAATTTATTACCTATACTAAACATTCGATTATACTCTGTGTTATTTATAAGAAATTAATATATACACTTGGAAATTTTAGAATCAATATTATAAGATCAATATTAACTCATTAAGGACCAAGACAAATATTTTTTTCTCAAAATTTAAAATCCTTTTAATGGCAAGCTACTATGTCCTTAAGGAGCCTAAATTTTGCCAAAAATTTTCACCCAAAGTTGACCTATTTTTTTAGTCGAAAAATCGACCAGATCTTTAATCGATTCTTAATGGATTAAAATGTATTCACATATTAAAAAGGATCCTATAGTTTAATTTTTAATACAGACAGTTACACAGTGCAGTGTGATGATTAACAAGAATAAAGATATATTCCAATCACAAGAAATAATCACTGAATACTTAATTTTGATCAGTCTATATGTTGACGAATAATATAAAGTAACTGTAAAAGTATAATAACTTTAACTAAATTATATATTGCTAGTTATAAAAAATATAATTTAACTTACAATTATTGAAAAAACAACTATAATTATAACTTTGTTACAAGTACACTAAAAAAAGATTGGCTGCAAATTAGATGTTACAGCAGCCAATTTTTGGTTGCGTTAGCCTATCGAAATCCTATACTGATATTGCAGATTATAGGCTAACGCAACCAAAAATTGGCTGCTGCAGCAAAATAAAAAATGCTATGCCACATTTTAGAATCTAATTTGCTGCAGCAGACAATCTTTTTTTCATAGTGTAACCAACTCTGGAAATTACTCTTATTATGTTTGAGAAAACAATGCGTACTTCGTAAAATTCTAATAAATACCGCTCATATACAATTACGAATGTAAATCCCACGTGTAGAATCAATCCGCAAAGTATTAATTGCGGTGAGAATTATCAGAGTTCGACCATGTGAAAAAGGGCAGACCTATTAGAGCATTATCGACTTAAGCGGCACTCGTAAAATTTCAATTCCTGATCCGATGTTATACCCGACTGAATTTAATTTACACGCATGAGTCGTGATATTATGTCGACCGATCGGCCGTACGTGGAATTATTTCGCTAATTTCCCATAAATGACTTCATAATAAAGCTAGTCATTTCGTTTCGCTATGGAGAAAGAGATTTTCAAGTGATATTTTCTTCCTTCTGGTGCCGCCGTCTTCGCTCTCATTCGGTGCACCGTCAATTTCACTTTATTTACGCTTCGCGAAATATACGACCAGATCGACTGGTTCGTAAAGCTTAAATCAATTTTATTTCTGTAGCTTCCGAAGCTTTCGTGCGCACTCGCGTTTTTATGAAATAAATACGACGTGCAGCTTTCGTGTTTGTTTGTATCGCGAGTTTCACATTTTTGTCAACTTTTTTTAATATGTACGCAAAAACATGAAAATACAATAACTTCATAAAAAAATAACTTTGTTTAAGTGCGTTTAGTATGTATAATCAATACATAATAGAGCGAATGCAAAATCGCTTTATTATTTATGATCTTGTAATTCTTATAAATATTACAGCTCTATTGATAAAACCATTTTAACTTTTCATGGTCACACTTCTAAAAAGCCACACGATGATTACTCTGGGTTAAAATGACCCGACCCATCTTTAAAGTGTTACCAAATCGACAGTATTAGTTTAAGCAATGATTTAAAAAAATACAGTATATAATTTCATCCTTTAAGAAAATGGAACAGTGGCGTTTTTGTGAAAAATTTAATTTTAACACTAAAAAAAATCGTAAACATGTTAAGTTCGAAAAAATGTGCTTTTTTACTTAAAAATTCATAACTTTTTAAATTTATAATATTTTCAAATGAAATTTTAGCTTAGTACTTTTGAGATGATGTACTTTAAAAAAATAGTATGGTTACACGCGTTTCAAAAAAGGTATTTATTTTGAAGGTAGAAGATGGTCGGTTTTAGGTGTAAAAAAAGATGTTAAATTGGGGTAAAAGGCTATTTATTATTGGTTTAAGTTATTATTAATGTAAAATTATTATTATTATTATTATTATTAATACTGAAAACAAATATAGGTGAAAAACGTAAAATACAAAAAATACATAGAAAAACGTTATTCTTCGCTACAGCAATCTCAGTACACAAATAGAGTCTGCTCTCTAAATCTGAATCAGTGGATAATCACTGATTCAGTGCCAAATATGCCACTGTTATTTAATGAATGAAATGTATCCCTAACCTAAAGCGCACCTTGCTTCAGTGTATAAGTGTAGCGCATTCAACGCATATGGTATTGTAAGATTAGAAATACAATGTGCTAGAACGGCAACGTGCAAATATCGGTATTTTAACTATATAATGCTCAAACTTTTGTTCTTTTATAGTTGAATTTTATTGATTATCCAATATCAAATGTGCTAATATGATATGCTGATAATTCAGTACGAAGTATGTCACTTCAGTAGATTACCCACTGATTCAAATTTACAGAGTGTATTTGTCACACATAAGTCGTAGACATGACGGACATTCTTTCCTGATCGTTTCTTTTATCTTTACTTAAAGGACACAAGTTACATCTTGTTTATTTTTGCAACTTAATGCAAAAATATAAATCATAAATTTTAAACTAAAGCGACGCGTTGGTCACACTTGCTGATATTTTGACCCGAGAAAAAAAACGCTTTTTGCGCGAATGGCTGCTAGACGCATACTAACAGTCCGATTAAAAAGCTAAACATCTCTATCGATAATTGAAACTTCAAATCTCTAGTAGATGGCAGGTGAGCCTTCCGAAGGCAGAACGGTATTAGAATTTAGCGTGAAAGACGATGCTTGGATCATTTTGATCCAGTGTGACCATGAAGAGTTAAGCAATAAATACTGCCGATATTCTTCATCACGTTTTGTAAAATGCAATTATTCTGTGTGGAATTATGTTTATTTCTATTGAAAATTTATATAAAATATAATTTATATAAAATATAATTTTATTGAAAATATATATTAAATGTAATTCTATTGAAAGTGTATATTAGATTTCACGAAAGTAACTTAATCATCGGTATATCTCTGATAAGCGAACGCCAAACTCGAGTTGTACTACTTGTCGCTGCACCTTAGCGTTCGTCGAACGTCATTGATAGTATGTGCACTGAAAAGACATCACTAGGTGTATACTATCCACCATCAAAGTATATGATCGCCATGCATTATCGATTACGTCGGCATTGGTCCAATTAACTTGCTCTCGATATAGATTGTTAGGTGCTATCTTCGTCGACACATGCCCATCGGCCATCGAATTCGGGGAAAAATGACTTTATTATAAAACAACGTTGGGGGTATTATTGGATATTATGGTGCTACAAAGACATTATTTTTAAGCAATGTTTATTATTCTGAAGATTAAAAAGTAGAAAATTTAAATTTAAATATGTGAATCTGTGGAAAAATTTGCGTGCGTGACTACACCCTTAAGGTGGTTAATCCCCCTCCAAAAATGTGACAACGAAAAAGGAAAAAAGTTGTATTTATATATTTAATTTTATTCTCTCTAATAATTTAACTTTAACAAATTCAATTAATATACTGTAAAAATCGCTCAAAGAAGATTTAGGTCTATTTATAAGCAGGAAGGGAAGTAAACGTAGATTTTCAAGGTTAATGTACTCACCCGATCACGACTATCGTGAAATCCAGCAAGTTCCAGCCATTACGGAGGTAAGCTCCTGGATGCGCGACGAAGCCGTAAGCTATGATCTTCATCACGCACTCCACCGTAAAAATCACAAGAAAAACGTACTCTATCTTCTCCTGTAACACCAGAGGAAAAATCGTCGTGAAAAATATGAAGGGAGGTGCACTGGCGTAGATCGATTGCCTCTAAAAGAGCCTTTGAGGAAAATTACAAATAGAAAGGCCTCTTCTGCTGCCGTCTTAACGTCGAAAAGAAGCCACTTTGATTGATAAGCGTCAAGCGATAAGACACTTTTGCAATTTTGACTTTGCGTCGGCGTCAACCGGGGGTGGCAATTAAAACAAGCGGTGAAAACAAATGACGGCGGGCTGCAATTAAAAACGCACGAGACCAAGAAAACAATATTTCGTGCGCACGTACACGAACGTCTTCGTTAAACATTTAAAGCACGAGCGTTGCAGTTGCAGTTGGATTACAGCGAGTTACGATAAGAACGTGATCGCCGTTAATCGCTCGGGAAAAGGGGTGTCAACTCGCGCCGATATTTTTTTCAGGAACTTAGGTACAATAATTTTTTACTCACAATTCGAATTGCGTAACCTGTTGCTTTCTTTTTTACTTCGAAAATCTCTTACCCCGTGCTTGCAGAATTAAGTGGCAAAAACTTTAGTAAAATCCTTTTCCAAATTTCGGAACTTTGATCAACTCATTACATGGGGTCACAAAATTAATTAATTATATATAATATCAGCTGTACAAAATTGTATAACATTTTGAAACTTGTTTTACATGCCTTGCCTTCCATATACTTCTTTTCTTTTGTTCGATTATGATGATCGATTATGACGAAGGATTAATAAAGTGTTATAATCGCTCGACTCAAAAAAGTTAATTTTACTGAATATACGAGTTTTGTAAAGCAGAAAATAATGTAAACAGAACATAAAAAATGCAATAATATACTTTAATTGAAAACAAGAGAAAACGCAAAGCAGATGCGCATTTTATAAAATACATTGACGAGTGTAGGATTAACTTTTCGATCTCAAATGCTCCTCATTAGCATAACTCGTCGACAGTAGTATCAGTAACATCACCGGCCATCGCGCAAAAGGGTTAATCGACGCATAGTGTTATGGTTGCAGCGGGCAGGGTAAGGACGGCACAGGCCTTGGTGAGAAAAACAGGCGAAACAAAAGGAAGAAGCGATGGGTTAAAAATAAGGCTGAGTGCACTCGCTCGTATACATCAGAGGTAGGAAAAAAGCCGCTACGCGGAGAAGGCGCGCAGGGATGGTGGATGTTAAAAGGGAAGTTGAAAGGCGCGAATGCGGCCACAGAGAGGACACAAACTCTCTCTATCTCTCTTTTTCTTCCCCCGCGCGGCATCCATTATGTTTAATTTCCGAAATCGATCGATTATTGGCCCCCTGAAATAGGCCCGAGGGCGCATTATATTGCCGGCTGCCCGATTGCTCACTGATGCATGACACGTAGGCGCAATTACATCACTTTGAGGATATAAAGTAGTATAAAGTAAAATATGAGGAACCAAAAGTTTTTTTTCGGTTGGTGGTCTTCTCATATATTTTATCAAATACTTGCTCCATTGCGAATTTAGCCTTGAAAGAGTGAACGTTATTTAGTACTTTGGATGAACTCACAACGTGACTTTTTCAGGACTTATTTTCGTCAGATTTCAACCTTCATAATTTTCCTTTACTGAAACACATACCATTCGTTATTTTATTGAGCTCTTTTTGTAAATTTAATGAAAATAAAAATAACTCATAATTATATATTCGAAAAAAAAAATGAAAAAATTGGAACATTAATATAATTATATTTTTCTATCTATTTTTTCATCTATCATTCATCAGCTTCATTCTCTAAAGTCCGTTTCCATAAACATGAATTAAATCCCTTTAATTAATTGTCTATCTCTTCTTTGAATTATACTTCATATACATTTCATTATTACGATAGTATTTTTCATTAGAAAATGCATTGTAGTATACTTATATATATCGTGTACAGTTTTCTACTTGGTCACACGAGAATTAACACATATGTCTGCAATATGAGCGAAATATGAGAAGAGCAGATGGTAATTCTAGGAAGGTAGGTGTACTTGCCGAATAATAGATCCGTCGCTGGATATTAAATGACATATCGCGTTCGACTAACGAATATTTTAATGCCTATGAGAGATTAAACTATTCGATCTGCCCCATATAATTTTGCTACATTGCATGTAGTAATTAATATACTTGTAAAAAGAAAAATTTTCAGCCCTTCATATTCCTTAAATCATAATTATTTTATAAATACGATCGATCGACATTGCTTGTTTCGTGAAAATTATTATAAAAATTAATATTTGCTGGAAATACTAAATGCTATTTTGCATTATTTTAAATTTAACATATGAATTAACGCGGACCGAATTTAAAAAAATTTAAATTTTCTTTATCTAAAACATAATAAATATTCATGAAAATGTTTACAATATGCTCATGATGCATGCAATTACATATATTGCAAATTTCTAATATAGTTTTCTAATATAGTTTCATAATCTTAGGCGATAAAAGATCGAAGTTTTATCTCGAGTCGCGCAAGGAATAAAAAAGTTTTTAAAGAAGTAGAGATCGAACTTAAGATTTACAAGAGTTTTTGGAGTTTGCGACTAAATTCGAATCTTTTCCCGAAGGCGTTCTTTATTTTCCATTTCTTCGGAGATGCTAAAAGAGTGACATCACATAGAAGAAAAGCGTGAAAAATAGATTAATAAAATATATAATTCTATAAAATTTCAATACGATAAATGTCTATAAAAAATTCTTACAAAAGAAATTTGATCTGTTTAATTATTATGATTTGAGTCATGTCATATTTTTCATGCAACATGCTATCTCGGATGTAGTATCGTTTATTATTTACTCTTATTTCAAAACACTTTTTATGTTTTCTACTTCATCATTTCGTAAGTAGAATTCTCAATCCCGATAAAAGCTTTCTTAAATTAATAGATTTGTAAAAATCAATATTTTTACGTTCTATAATTAACGACCATTAAGCTGTCATAATTGACTTGAACATTTATACAGGTAGTTTTCTGTGAATTTCTCGTTGGCCTAATCTCAGCAAAGTTTCCTCCTGATATTAATTAGCGCAAGGGATGTCCTTTGAGTGACGTAAAACGAAGTCACACCCTTTGGCAAGGCATGCCAACGGCGCGATCCTACTTTAGCACGTACATAATATGACGCAAAACTGAATTTTGAGTAGTTATCGAGTAGCCTCTCTGTGCACACAGGCGAATGGATAATCCCTAAGTATAAGTTCTATAGAGGTTTGAACCAAACCTCTGAAAGCCTTATCTGCAAATGAGCTCGAGCGCAGTTTCCGAATATCAGTAATTACAAATGACTTTTGAAATGTCCGACGCCGGGGGGAGTAGCTTCAATTAATTCTCACGCTAAAGCGGCCTACATGTGAATTTTCCGATTATGGTGCGCCGGGGCAGCATACACGCCGATGTTGAGCAAGATTGAACAATTATTGAACTTTCAGCTCGAATAAGTTTCATGCCACCAACCCTGCATACCGTCTCAGAATCAATAATTCGATAGAGGTTCGTGTGGTTCGTTGAACGGAACCACCACTCTTATTGTTGCAGGAGGCACCCTTCGATTTAGACACACATACGCGTGCGCATATATACATATATCATAATCAGTAAAATTGCTTTATTTCACATTCGACGAAGTCGCACAAAGAGATTCCCGGCGGCGCCATTCATAACGAGATGATTGCTATTCGCTCACGATTATTTTTAGTCCTTTTCAAAATTTCTATTTTTACATATATAAGGTTAAAATAATGTACAGTGCATTATCCAATTTGCTTTTATTAAAAAAAGAAATTTTGTTATTCTTTCTAGAGAAAATGATATCATTTATAAAGTGATATGACTCAAAATATCATCAACAGTTTATATTTATCTCGATTAACTAAAATAATTAAATTCAAAATAGACAATTTTTTCTTCAAATTTTAATTACCAAAACTTTTTAATTCTACGAATTGAGAATTCACAATAAGGCTCTAAATGAATATGATTCAACTTGAAAGATTGGAGCTAGCAGAACCAATGGATCTATTATGCTAATATACAATACTATTAATTAAATTAAAAATATCAAACATGTATGTGCAAAGATTTCTAATGAGGATGACCGTTAAATAAATCGACAATGTAATAAGATTAGCTAAAGGGAATAACGACTGTTTATGATCTATTGTAATTTTTATGTATACCATTGAAGATGATCATATTAAAATGATCGAAACGTTTGAAAATTAATTATTTTGATTAATAGTATTGTATATTAGTATAATAGATTCTTAATTCTAAATATTCTTTGTAGAAGACTCTCTTTTTTATTTACAAAGACGACACAACTCAAAATGTGTTGCTCTTGCATTGATAAAAGGTATTGTAATGTCTTTAAAAACCTTAAGAGAACGACACAAATACTATATTTGGCGGACGGGGATTATGAAGTAAAGTTTTACTTTTGATGATTGGTAGAGTAATTATTGTCTAACTCATTCATGATAACTCCAAGATCACGTTTGAATTGTCACTTTTGAAGTAAGGGAGCGATATAATTTCATTTAGACATTTAAACTCATGGCTGAATAACTAAAAAACAGAATAATTGAGCACACAAGTACTAAATACTCACCAAGTATTGGTTGGTCAGATTAGAATCGCTACAAGGATACGGCGTATAAACGGCCAAAGCGACGCAGTTTGCAAATATCGTCATAAGGATGAGATATTCGAAGGCTCTGCAGAATGACGTTGATAAAACCAAGTTAAGTAAGGAAACTAATAAGGTTGGTCATTCGTGCATTAACCCTTTTGTTGCAGATTGTCGCCAATATTGACTCTAATATCAACATCATAGTAAATACGGAATTAGGGTCAATCTGAAGAAGAGCAATTTAATATCAAATTATTAAGGTAAACGTACCAGTAGCTGGACGTTTAAGCGTAGGTTGTCATAAATAATATAATTTATAATATTAGAAAGATTTTTAATATAAAAATATTTGTATTCACTTGAAAACTTAAGACTCCCTTAAGCAAGGAAAAATTATTTAAACCTACTTATAACAATTATTAATTAAAATATTTAAATAAGTAATAAAATTCGTCAATGTACCAGTGGTCGAACACTGGGACGTAATTGTCTCAGTGTCCGACCACAATTAAAAAATTAGTATGCTGACGAGAAATATTAATATAAATAAATGTTTAATGACAAAAGACAACTAATTCCAATTGATCTTTAAAGTAAAAAGCATTTGAGATTAACGTTAATTTAAATAAATAAAGTTTTGTGTAATTGTGTCCGGACATAGATACGGTCCCAGTGACTGGACATGTAGCATATACCTATGTCCGAACATTTACATAAAACTTTATTTATTTAAGTTAATAATGATCTCAAATACGCTTTTTAAAACGTAATATTATAATTTAATTGTAATTATTAAATGTAATTAAATTATAATACAGTAATAAAAAAATTTGAGATTAATAATAATAAATTTTGTGTAAGTGTCCAGACATAGGTACATGTCCGGACACTGATACGTTTACCTTAATGTCAGGTTCGCAAACATCGTTGATATCAGACGTGATCTCTGAACTTTGATATCTAATTCTCCGTCATCAGAAGCCGGTAATTATGTATCATTAATTGCGGAAGAAGTATGCGAGAGCAAAAGGATACTTCCACTCGACGACCTTGATGCACAGCTTCCTAACAGGATTCGTGAGGGTCAGACAGAAGAGCGCCCGAACGGGTCTATCAGGTGGCGGTTTAGCCCCCCGTCTGACGGGCTTCTTCTGGGCCGATTTGGAGACAGCGCTGGCGGCCCCGGGGCCCGTCTGCGATGGCGGCGGCTGCATGTTCGCCAATTGCGTCGCATCCATCGCACCACCGACGTTAAGTTGCTGGCCGGCGTTGGGGGGGATTGCGATGTAGGGGGTCGCGGCAATCGGCTGGGCCCCCGGCAGCCGAGCAGGTGGGCCCAAGACCGAGCCCCCATCCCCCCCCGCGCTCATCGGTCGCTGGTGTCGAGCTCCGTGCTTCCTGTGCTACGACGACGATCACACGTTCTTCTTTTTCTCCTACGACGACGCTCCAGGGATTGGTGCCTAGCCACGCAGATGGCGGCGATCGACGCCGATCGACGCGGTGTCTCAGAGACGCACCACCACGCGCTGCAGCTCGCCGGCATGCTACGGCACTGGGCTGCTATGAAGCTCCTTCCGTGACCTGCGACAAAAGGTCGGGGTTCATGAGAGGGGATGATATAGAGAGAGGAAAAAGGGAGAGAAAGAGAGAGAGAGAGAGAGAGAGAGAGCTCTTTCGACCGTAACGGTCGACCGCGAGTGCATCGCGACGAGTATCCTATAAATTGTAATTATTCATGAGCTAATTCCGCGATGCATTCATAAACACGAATCAATGTGCACTCTAACGAAAACGTTCTCGAAACACATAAATACCAATACTCTCGAAGATGTAACATTTAATTTTGAATTCACATTACAATGAAAATAATTTTAGCGTTTGAATGTTAAGTGGAGGAGGATGAATTAATTGCGCGAGCCACTTTATTATTTTGTATTACTTTACAAATCGGCTGATAATTATTTATTACCTTTTATTATTATTTATTATCTTTTGTGCATTATACCTTTTAAATACAATTACATTATATCTTTTTAAATATACGTTACAAATATAAATTATATCACAAATAATAAATTAAATTGACTTTATTCGGCGAAGATTTCGCTTTAATTATTTATAGTAACGATGCAAAAAATAGATTAGATATTATATAGAAAAGGGGGAGAAAAACAGGAGACTCATCAAACACGGAAAGTTGATGTTTTCACGCGTTTTATCCGGAAAAAAACAAGATATTCCAAATAATTCAAAAATCCGTCAGTCTCAAACGACGCAATTATACCTTTGACGGTGCAAATCCGCCAACAGAAACAACATGTACAATGCGTTGGGGGTCGTGCAGCTTTCTCCCCCCCATCCCGGAAGGATAATACATAGTGGCGCGGGCTTTCGATTGCACCATGGCGTGGATGCAATAAAAAGATAACAGTGCTGCCGAATGAAAAGAACTCGATTATTTCGGGCGCAGCCTTCCTACCGATCCTGACGCTACCTATCAGCCGTGATATTCTCTGCAGAAAATCTAATCATTTATTTCTCTCAATTGTGAAAAACGTTGGGAGTGGCTGAAAATTTGTTACGTTAATGGAATAATAAGATTAATTCACCTGAGAAATTCACGCGATTATATCTTCGTTTTTATTAGGTTTTCGTATTTTCCCAAACAATAGAAAGATTATTTCAATCCGCGCTCTTATTCTTTAATTAGAGATATTTTATATCTCAGCGACAAATTGATTATAAATTCTTTTTGGATCACAATTAATTAATTAAATCCTGAACTATTCTTAACTCTCACAGTACTCATAATATTGATTGTACGACGAAGATGCAACGGGAGATAAATCATTCACATTAGGCAAACATGATTGCGGTGAAAAATTGCGGGAGACATTATCTAAAGGCACATTTATTCCATCCTTTTCAAGTTTCTCTACCGGAACCGGTAAATCCTCACATAAATTGGACGCAAATCGCACGTGGTAACACGACAATTATTCGCGATAGAAATCAATAGATAACACTACAATAGTTCGTGTTACGGTATGAGCGGTCGATGCTTTCCCGACCTTCCGTAATCCCCGTTATCGTGTACAATAAATCGCTCATCGATGGGACTACTATTTTACGGTGGACAATTCTTCGCAATTTAACAAACGCATTGGCTTTTTGAACAATTTTCTTGTCGCGGAACGCAAAACCTGCGTTTAAAAGTCAGCTTGATCGATTCGACTAATCCGTTCTGTAAATCCGTGGCTCTCCATCGATCGCAACGCTAACCTGCGCCGCGCGAAGAGCACGATGGCCCTTTGAAACCAAGTCTCAACTGATAGGATAATTCTGGAATAGATGGCCATCTCTTTCAGTATCGACGTGACCACGTTAAAATATTTGCTTTAAATCCTTGTAAACGATCAATTCTCAAAGCAAGGTTTTGCTGGATAAACGTTAGCGCAGAAACCGAAAATAATGACGTATAATCAAAAGAAGTTTACAAATATTACAGTTAAAAATATATAAACATAAATATATTTTATTTACGTATATAAAAATATGCGTACATTAATTTTTTTTTATTAAAATATTTTATTAAAGTAGTCTATATATTTGTGTCATTTACAAATATTAATATATTGTCGTTTGAATCACACGTTATATACTCCTATTTATTTTATCAGCGTTTATTTTATTAAAACAATATTATTTTGCTATTTTTTATTGATGGATGAATATATCCAAAGAAGTCAGTTTAATATAATATACTAATAATAATTATACGATACAATAATATGATATATTAATAATAATTAGCATATCATATTAAACTAACTTCTTATTTTTGCATTTGCTCCCCTGATATGATGAATCATTGAAAGTACGTGTCGCAAAGATATCTAATATTTTACGTCTCGCACATACATTGCTGCAGCGGATACATTGCTGCCCAAACAATCTTCGTCGCCGAGCAACGTTCATCCGAAGGAAACGTCGCAACGACTGTGAGAGAAACCGGCCTGGGATTTATAGCCGAGTCCGTGCTATATTTAGTATGTCTAAATACTAGAAAGCTCTACCTACGGACGAGTTTCTTGCCTCGTGTCGCGACACATCGTGAACTTGTCTGTGATCTAATCATCTTTATCGTCTCTACTTTGAGCTACAATACGATTCCGCTCGAAATTCCTCGGTAACAAATTGTACCACCTCGTGCACGAAATATTCCGCGGCGTATCTCGTTACGGTGTTTCGTTCAAGCCACTTTGTCCTCGAGGTATTGTTTCTGGAAGCAAGTAGCGCATCTCACGACATAATTCCACTCAACTTCAAAGGGAAAGTGAACGCACGTATCATTATACAAATTATTATTTAAACCGGTAGAAATAGAGGAGATTATCTATTAATTATTCGCGACGTAATGATTCTTGAAATTCGCAATTCGTATTAAAAGGACCTCTGTGATTCAGAATGACGAAATAGAGTGCAATAGGCATGCCTTTACGTAGATTTATAGATAGCAATGAGTGAGGCACGTAACTAGAGATGAGTCATACAATTTCTAGCATTTGGCGTAATTCCTTTCTACAAAGTCCACGACGTGTGTCGCTGATTGTTTAGATTGAAAGTCGTTCGCTTGTCATATAGGAGAGAAAGACAAGGAGAGAGAAACTAATTCAATTCCTTTTTTAATGTATAATTTGTCCAGTTTCAATTTAATATTTTATTCAATATTAAGCTGGTCAGATAAATCCAAATGTAAATATGTAAATTAAGCGCGTGAAAGCACATAATTAAATCAGTATTAAATTAATCCCGAGGTCGATTTAATTTTTTAATGTATTTAAAAAACAAAAATTACTTTTTGTGGCGAACGAATAACGAGGCATACATTTCCTTGTTATCTACATCGTCACGCAATTACTTATGAATTGAAAATTATATATTTTTATGTACATATATTATATATAAATTAAAAAAGATAAAAACAAATTTCGTAATAATTTAATGCATTAAAGTAATCCAGGATTAATGTGTCCTACATATTCCATTAAATATTAATTTAGATTCTTTATATACATGCAATCAAAGCTAATGCATAATCCAAAGTGCATGGAGCAAATCTTCAAAGCACGATTATCCGACTCTTCCAACTCGCTCGTAACATTTAACCAAGATTGATCCCGAGATTTCCCGTTATTCCCTGATAACAGCTCCTTTTATCCGCATCACCGCCGCGACTCCGCATTGTCCGCTAATCCCATCGTCCGCATCTTCAGTATGCGACATATGTATGCATGTGTGCGTTTGTATGTGTGCGTTTGTATGTGTGCGTGCTCCGTACATGCAATGCACATCTGGTTTCGAGTAGTTTCTGCAGCGAACTTCGGCTGAATTATGCGAGAATCTTTGGGCCGTGCGAATAAATGATTCACCGAAAATTCACGAATAGTTTCCGAGTCACCGAAAATCGTCGCAGCTGTCGAGCTGCGACATGAATTCCCATGGGCGCATCGTGCCGCGATGCGCGGTACAACGCCACTCTATTTGTATAGCCTCACGCGACACGCGATCGAGAGTCCGCATATTCAAAATCTGTGATCGGATTTAAGCTCAGCTGCGCCAACAGTTTCAGTTATCTCTGATTTAGAGATTACCTGTTAATTTAAACAGCTGTTTAAAGATTATAGTTGTGATAGAAGCAGGGAAACAAGTATTTTTGCAATTTACATACAGGTTACGAAATTACCTCACGAAAAAAGAACACACCTGAAAACTTTACTGCAAAGTTCAGCAAATCTACAGTCGTAATATACAGACAGTCAATTTTCTATGTTAAAGTAGCAAAGTTGATAGCTGAATAACGTTAGCGATTTGTTAAACCATCAAACCTTCTTAAGTTACAGATATTGAATTCGCGCAGTAAGTTATAGGTTTGCTGTACCACTCAATTTATTTTTTTTCCGTGCTGTTATTATACAGTTAGAAATTACAATTGGAGTTATTTTTTTCCAGTAATGTAACTTAACTCTAAATCCCTCTCTTTCTATCTATACCTGTAACTTTGTTATATTTTTTTATAACTAATTTAATAGTTAGATCATTATATATTTAGAACTTATTCGTCAACATATGGGCTGAGCAAAATGAAGCGTACTTAGTGAATAATCAGTGATTATTTCTCTTATGACTGGAATATATCTTTATCCCTGATAATCATTGCAGTGTAAATGTCTATATTAAACATTAAGCTAAGAATCCTTTAATCTAAGAGCAGTCTTAATGTTACCAATTTTGATTCCAATTGTATATGTTAATTTATTATGAATAATATAGCCCAATATATATTTAGGACAAAATAATCTAGTAACGTTAAAAACGTATAAGATTCTTGTATTTAAAATAGCAACATAAAAAAAATTATAAAAAATTAACAGAAGAGTAATTGAAAAATAATGACTTGGTATTTTTAAGTAATTGTAACTGTAACGTATTATATATTTTTTTCAGAATCATAACTTATAATAGTAACTAATTACTTTCTGAAAGAGAAAAAAATTGTAACTGTGTGTGTGTGTGTGTGT